AACAGTTCAAATATTAAACAAAAAGGATATAATTTTAAAATCTGAAATTGATTTAATGAATGTTTTTAAATATTTTGACTTACAATAATTAGCTTTTCACAATTACAGATTCCTCATCCAAATTTAGTTTCTTTTTAAAAACAAAACCTTATTAAAATATACATCTAAAATAAATTCTTACTGCTAATAAAATTGAGTGACCTGATCATGTATATCACCAATCTAAATAAAGGTTGAAATCTAACAAGTAAAATCTATCATGTACACCAATATTTGAATAATTCATGTTCAATATTTACCTGAGTAAATATTCAGCAAGTAGATTATAAATTTTAAAATATTGTCAACTTTACGTTTATCAAGTACAAGATAAGTTTTTACAAGTTATACTCCCTGTAAATCTCTCTGTTAATATCCAACTATAAGATAAGTTTTTACAAGTTATACTCCCTGTAAATCTCTCTGTTAATATCCAACTATAAGATAAGTTTTTACAAGTTATACTCCCTGTAAATCTCTCTGTTAATATCCAACTATAAGATAAGTTTTTACAAGTTATACTCCCTGTAAATCTCTCTGTTAATATCCAACTACAAGATAAGTTTTTACAAGTTATACTCCCTGTAAATCTCTCTGTTAATATCCAACTATAAGTTATGAATGAAATAGGTGTATTCTTAAAACTTTATTCAAAAATTCATATTAAATGTTAATAATGAAATAAAATGAAGAAATTGCTAAAGATTTATAGTTGTTATTATATATCGAAATATTATTTATGAATAATTGAAATATCAATCAAGAATTTATCTAATAAAAATATTAAATTATAAAATATAAATTATGAATGGAAGAGCTGACATAATAAAGAAATAAAAAGTAAAATAAACAAGAGAATACAACCTGGTCTAGAGCTAGTATAACTATCTATGATGACGCCCCCTAGTAATATATTACTAAGACAAGACACAGTATAATATTACCATCATGTCAGCCAGAATACTGAGACAGCCAGTTTCCCTACCCTCAGCTTTATGTCCCCTCTCTTCTGTACTTTGACACCAGGCAGGTCAGTTAGAGACAAGATGATGGGTGAACCCTATTTTAAACTATAGGGGAGTTTGAACCAGTATATGAGAGGGTCTAGATTAGATTACATTCTACCTGAATCAACAGAAATTGATAGGAGATAAGTTATAGATTCATAGTCTTACACGTCACCTAATATACCTGTACAACCCCTTACCCTGGTAAAATGGTTTAATCCCCAAACTTTGGCCGCGATTACAGAGATTCGAGTCTGTATAAGTTTGTCAGATAAGAAGTTGTCACAAGGCTTTGCTATCATCAAGATATAATTTGAAGATCTAAACAAACAATTATTACTTATGACCAATGGACTAGAGGGAACGTTAATGACTATCATCTATCTATCAGCTAGAAGTTTATCAATGTTTACTTAATGATTTGGTAGTGTTCAAACTTGTTAACTCAACAATATCTCAAATTTAACGTTAAATTATCAACTTAGACCTTGTATTACAGATAACTTATAATAATTCTAAAACTCACACACAAAATATAAACACTTTAAACCAGGCAACATCAAACAATACTAACGATGTTAATTAATCAATTATCAGTTATCAATTAAAACATTGATCAATAATCAATCATTATTATAATTAGTTCATCAACTGATAATATAATATCATGTTTCATTATTTTAACTTAGTACAGGGTAGGACAACAGGAAATACATCAACTGATAATATTTATATTGGATGCAGTACGGTGTTGCATGTCTTAATGAAGGCACTGGCCTGGGATGGTCACAGTACTAGATATTGATTATGTGAAAATTAGATGTTGGATGTCTGTCAGAGTCAGAGGAGTTGCCATGAAATGATTTTACAGGATTTAAATATGTTGGACACCAGCCTCCCTATTTTAGTTGTAAAGTGTTTGAATTGTGGGGATGATAATAATATATATTATGATAGGATATCATTTTAAGTTTGTTTTGAATTCAGCAACTGGATAAGAGACAACATGCTAAATTAATCTAAAATACAATTCCTTCGTGTCATGTGCTTCACATCACCTTGGTTTCTCAATTTAACATCCATTTTATACAGATAATATAGCTGATTACTGTTAAAACTATGATATTCACCAGGAGATAGTACACTAGTAATTATTGTTAGTAATGCCCATCACAGTACAAATAAAAACAGAGACTTGGACTTAATGTTCAGCTATTTGGAAGATAAAAGTGAGAATATCGCCTAAAAACCTAGTAAATTTGAGGTTTTTTGTACCGCATTAAGATGAAACTAGGTAATGAAGTTAAAATAAAATAAATTATCTATAATTATAATCAGTAAGATCAAACAATGAGAGATTGATAGTCAACTGAACTTTAACACGTTAGTATCATTGTTATTAGATAGCAAGTTAACTTTGTTACATGTGAAATTTGAACTGAATCTTGTGATATAGGTAATCTTGTATCTCGAACATCAGATTAGATAGAAACTCAACAAGTTCCAAGTTCATTTTCTTTAATCATTATTCAGTTATAGTTGACGCAGTCTATTGTTCATTTTATTTCAATCACTATACCACTTATTATTCCATTTTATTGTCAAGTTTTAAGTTTATTATATAATTGTGTGATGGGAAATTGACAAAATCTCAAACTCAAAATTCCAAGTTTAATCTGTTCAGTCATTTTTCAAATATAGTTATCACGAGCCATTTTATATTCACCAAATAATTCACGCAATTTTATACATTCTATATATCAAATAAAAACTTGATACTCGTATACTTCTATATCAATTCAATATACTCAATTAGACTCAGCAAGTATAATATATATCATTCTATATATCAAATAAAAACTTGATACTCGTATACTTCTATATCAATTAAATATACTCAATAAGACTCAGCAAGTATAATATATATCATTCTATATATCAAATAAAAACTTGATACTCGTATACTTCTATATCAATTAAATATACTCAATAAGACTCAGCAAGTATAATATATATCATTCTATATATCAATTAAAAACTTGATACTTGATACTTCGTATACATTCAATATACTCAATTAGACTCAGCAAGTATAATATATATCATTCTATATATCAAATAAAAACTTGATACTCGTATACTTCTATATCAATTCAATATACTCAATTAGACTCAGCAAGTATAATATATATCATTCTATATATCAAATAAAAACTTCATACTCGTATACTTCTATATCAATTCAATATACTCAATTAGACTCAGCAAGTATAATATATATCATTCTATATATCAAATAAAAACTTCATACTCGTATACTTCTATATCAATTAGACTCAGCAAGTATAATATATATCATTCTATATATCAAATAAAAACTTGATACTCGTATACTTCTATATCAATTCAATATACACAATTAGACTCAGCAAGTATAATATATATCATTCTATATATCAAATAAAAACTTGATACTCGTATACTTCTATATCAATTAGACTCAGCAAGTATAATATATATCATTCTATATATCAAATAAAAACTTGATACTCGTATACTTCTATATCAATTAGACTCAGCAAGTATAATATATATCATTCTATATATCAAATAAAAACTTGATACTCGTATACTTCTATATCAATTCAATATACTCAATTAGACTCAGCAAGTATAATATATATCATTCTATATATCAAATAAAAACTTGATACTCGTATACTTCTATATCAATTCAATATACTCAATAAGACTCAGCAAGTATAATATATATCATTCTATATATCAAATAAAAACTTGATACTCGTATACTTCTACATCAATTCAATATACTCAATTAGACTCAGCAAGTATAATATATATCATTCTATATATCAAATAAAAACTTGATACTCGTATACTTCTATATCAATTCAATATACTCAATTAGACTCAGCAAGTATAATATATATCATTCTATATATCAAATAAAAACTTGATACTCGTATACTTCTATATCAATTAGACTCAGCAAGTATAATATATATCATTCTATATATCAAATAAAAACTTGATACTCGTATACTTCTATATCAATTAGACTCAGCAAGTATAATATATATCATTCTATATATCAAATAAAAACTTGATACTCGTATACTTCTATATCAATTCAATATACTCAATTAGACTCAGCAAGTATAATATATATCATTCTATATATCAAATAAAAACTTGATACTCGTATACTTCTATATCAATTCAATATACTCAATTAGACTCAGCAAGTATAATATATATCATTCTATATATCAAATAAAAACTTGATACTCGTATACTTCTATATCAATTCAATATACTCAATTAGACTCAGCAAGTATAATATATATCATTCTATATATCAAATAAAAACTTGATACTCGTATACTTCTATATCAATTCAATATACTCAATTAGACTCAGCAAGTATAATATATATCATTCTATATATCAAATAAAAACTTGATACTCGTATACTTCTATATCAATTCAATATACACAATTAGACTCAGCAAGTATAATATATATCATTCTATATATCAATTTTATACTTGATACTCGTATACTTCTATATCAATTAGACTCAGCAAGTATAATATATATCATTCTATATATCAAATAAAAACTTGATACTCGTATACTTCTATATCAATTCAATATACACAATTAGACTAAGCAAGTATAATATATATCATTCTATATATCAATTTTATACTTGATACTCGTATACTTCTATATCAATTAGACTCAGCAAGTATAATATATATCATTCTATATATCAAATAAAAACTTGATACTCGTATACTTCTATATCAATTAGACTCAGCAAGTATAATATATATCATTCTATATATCAATTTTATACTTCATACTCGTATACTTCTATATCAATATATAATATGTTGTATGTGTATTTTGATAGGTATGTTATATGTATTATGTGTTTTTTGATAGGTATGTAATATGTAGTATGTGTATTTTGATAGGTATGTAATATGTTGTATGTGTATTTTGATAGGTATGTAATATGTAGTATGTGTATTTTGATAGGTATGTTATATGTTGTATGTGTATTTTGATAGGTATGTAATATGTTGTATGTGTATTTTGATAGGTATGTAATATGTTGTATGTGTATTTTGATAGGTATGTAATATGTTGTATGTGTATTTTGATAGGTATGTAATATGTTGTATGTGTATTTTGATAGGAATGTAATATGTTGTATGTGTATTGTGATAGGTATGTAATATGTAGTATGTGTATTTTGATAGGTATGTAATATGTTGTATATAGTATGTAAAAGTTTAAGAAAGAATGAACAAAACTTACAGCATGAGCAATCTGATCTGATTTCAGTCCGTCAAGATGTTTACGTTCTGGAGTATTATTTTTACAAACACCATATTGAGGCTCCGTCCAACATTCAGTAACAATCTGTATTTCTCCGTCAGCCTCCATAGTTTCCATTTCTTCTTCATCATCTTCGGATATGCTAAAAAATAATATCACACAATATATCAGATACAATCAGATACAAGATCTATAGAGTACCTCTGATACGTTACAGAATAATATATCACAATATATCAGATACAATTAGATACAAGATCTATAGAGTACCTCTGATATGCTACAGAATAATATATCACGATATATCAGATACATTTAGATACAAGTTCTATAGAGTACCTCTGATATGCTACAGAAAAATATATCACAATATATCAGATACATTTAGATACAAGTTCTATAGAGTACCTCTGATATGCTACAGAATAATATATCACGATATATCAGATACATTTAGATACAAGTTCTATAGAGTACCTCTGATACGCTACAGAATAATATATCACAATATATCAGATACATTTAGATACAAGTTCTATAGAGTACCTCTGATACGTTACAGAAAAATATATCACAATATATCAGATACATTTAGATACAAGTTCTATAGAGTAACTCTGATACGTTACAGAATAATATATCACAATATATCAGATACATTTAGATACAAGTTCTATAGAGTACCTCTGATACGTTACAGAAAAATATATCACAATATATCAGATACAATCAGATACAAGATCTATAGAGTACCTCTGATACGTTACAGAATAATATATCACGATATATCAGATACATTTAGATACAAGTTCTATAGAGTACCTCTGATACGCTACAGAATAGTATATCACAATATATCAGATACATTTAGATACAAGTTCTATAGAGTACCTCTGATACGTTACAGAATAATATATCATAATATATCAGATACATTTAGATACAAGTTCTATAGAGTACCTCTGATACGCTACAGAATAATATATCACAATATATCAGATACATTTAGATACAAGTTCTATAGAGTACCTCTGATATGCTACAGAAAAATATATCACAATATATCAGATACAATTAGATACAAGATCTATAGAGTACCTCTGATACGCTACAGAATAATATATCACAATATATCAGATACATTTAGATACAAGTTCTATAGAGTACCTCTGATATGCTACAGAAAAATATATCACAATATATCAGATACAATTAGATACAAGATCTATAGAGTACCTCTGATACGCTACAGAACAATATATCACAATATATCAGATACAATTAGATACAAGTTCTATAGAGTACCTCTGATATGCTACAGAACAATATATCACAATATATCAGATACAATTAGATACAAGATCTATAGAGTACCTCTGATATGCTACAGAACAATATATCACAATATATCAGATACAATTAGATACAAGTTCTATAGAGTACCTCTGATATGCTACAGAACAATATATCACAATATATCAGATACAATTAGATACAAGATCTATAGAGTACCTCTGATACGCTACAGAATAATATATTACAATTAGATACAAGATCTATAGAGTACCTCTGATACGCTACAGAATAATATATCAATAGAATTAGGTAATGACACAATCAGCAAAATTAAAATCAAGTAAACACATTCAACAACTCGCATGGAAATGTTCAAACAAGTGGGATCAAAATCAAAGATCTGAAAAGGTTACCTCATGTAAAGCTATCCATGACTATACATAATTTCTTTTCTTAAAGTACAGATTAAGATATGATTAATACTGACCTTTCTCTGGTTGTTTTAGTGTGAGGTGGAAATATTACATATTGTACAACACATTTACAACAATTATCATCTTCATTGTTATCATTGGTATCACCATCCTGAAATATATCAAAATACATATCACTTTGATACAATGTGCGTTTTAAAAATGAGTTGGAAATTGAAAAAGAGTCAGTTAATATTTTTGTCTTGACAAAATTTTCTCAATTGCACACTGCAAAGATTCATTTTAATACAAAGTATATTTTGGAGAAGGAAAAGGGATATAACTCTTCTTACCATCATGTCGACCTCCAAAACTAAATTAACCACACCAGATTCAGCAGCCGCGAAATGAAAACCTTCTTGTAGACGTAATCTGTAAAACATGACAGTTGAATTTCAGAATAATGAGAAAGTGAAGATTATAATCAACTTTTGCTAAAAGTCTCAAGTTTTATTCTAAGATTTTGCTGAAACACACGAGAACATTGACCAGAGACCTTAAGTGGCACAATCTTCATTTTTTTCCACATTAAATAGGGGAATTTTGGCCAATAAAATATATTAAAATAATAATATTACTCTATGAAAACCTCCAAATATACATCAAACTAAATATTTCACTTTCCCTTTCTACTTTCACTGGTTTTCTCCCCGACTTCAAAACTTTCTCAAAAATCTTACTTTGTTAAAGTCTGTAAAACTTTGCCAATAAAGGCCATTCCAACTTGAACCTTAGAAGATTGTTGAATCGTCCAGATCCATCGTTGATGACAGAGATAATGTGACAACATACGAAACATACTGCCAGCTGATAGCGTAGACACAGACATCTGGGGTGTGATAGACACGCTAGCCTCATCTTTAGCTGGATCATCTACTATCATCATATCTCTTGGTACACGATTATATCTGGAATAATATAGTAGAGTTTTTATTATACCTGATTGTTCTTAGTTAGCTGATCTGAGTTGAAATAGAGTTCTATATATCCTACTGTTCTGTATCTTATTGGACTAATGAAATAGAGTTTTATATCCTACTGTTCTGTATCTTATTGGACTAATGAAATGAAATAGAGTTTTATGTCCTACTGTTCTGTATCTTATTGGACTAATGAAATAAAATAGAGTTTTATATCCTACTGTTCTATATCTTATTGGACTAATGAAATGAAATAGAGTTGTATATCCTACTGTTCTATATCTTATTGAACTAATGAAATGAAATAGAGTTTTATATCCTACTGTTCTATATCTTATTGGACTAATGAAATGAAATGGAGGTTTATATCTTACTGTTCTGTATCTTATTGGACTAATGAAATGAAATAGAGTTTTATATCCTACTGTTCTGTATCTTATTGGACTAATGAAATGAAATGGAGGTTTATATCCTACTGTTCTATATCTTATTGGACTAATGAAATGACTTATTGGACTAATGAAATGAAATGGAGGTTTATATCCTACTGTTCAGTATCTTATTGGACTAATGAAATGAAATGGAGGTTTATATCCTACTGTTCTATATCTTATTGGACTAATGAAACAAAATGGAGGTTTATATCCTACTGTTCTGTATCTTATTGGACTAATGAAATGAAATGGAGGTTTATATCCTACTGTTCTATATCTTATTGGACTAATGAAATGAAATAGAGGTTTATATCCTACTGTTCTGTATCTTATTGAACTAATGAAATGAAATAGAGTTTTATATCCTACTGTTCTATATCTTATTGGACTAATGAAATGAAATGGAGGTTTATATCCTACTGTTCTATATCTTATTGGACTAATGAAACAGAGTTTCATATCCTACTGTTCTATATCTTATTGGGCTAATGAAATGAAATGGAGGTTTATATCCTACTGTTCTATATCTTATTGGACTAATGAAATAAAATGGAGGTTTATATCCTACTGTTCTATATCTTATTGGACTAATGAAATAAAATGGAGGTTTATATCCTACTGTTCTGTATCTTATTGGACTAATGAAATGAAATGGAGGTTTATATCCTACTGTTCAGTATCTTATTGGACTAATGAAATGAAATGGAGGTTTATATCCTACTGTTCTATATCTTATTGGACTAATGAAATAAAATGGAGGTTTATATCCTACTGTTCTGTATCTTATTGGACTAATGAAATGAAATGGAGGATTATATCCTACTGTTCTATATCTTATTGAAAAACCTGCCAACTTACCGAACGAGTATTTTCTCCACTGGTTTAATCAACAGAGTACAACAATTTATTTCAGCCCAATCTCTCATCAAGGGAGACTTTCTCCGAACTTTCTTCTGTACGTCTGAATCTTTGGAAGGGCTCTTCTTCTCTGCTTTCTGGGTCCCTCGGTGTGGGAATTTTAACCCCTGAAGTTTGACTAGAAGGGCATCTACTACCTGTTTCCTGACAGAGCTTGGTGTCCCTCCGAGAAACGCCAAGCGTAAAACCATACAAGGTCCTTTCAGCGATATTCTGATGACACGTAAAACACAGAAATAGGACGGCGGTGATTTGTCATCTCTATAATTAATTGTAAAAAAACATGTTTACTTTCAAAATGTTGGTATTTAGTTAAAAGGGGAAGTTAGAATATTTCTTTTCTTGTTTCTAATCCAACTAATGATGACAGAGATGAGCTAGTGTGCAATAAAGGAAATTGTTTCCAAAACAGTAACATATACAACAATGGACAAAGAAACATACAATCATGACAGGTCAATACAGTCAAATCAGCTCTAGTTTGACAAGACTGGTAAATACAGTCTAGAGCTCTAGTTAGACAAGACTGGTAAATACAGTCTAGAGCTCTAGTTAGACAAGACTGGTAAATACAGTCTAGAGCTTTAGTCTGACAAGACTGGTAAATACAGTCTATAGCTCTAGTCTGACAAGACTGGTAAATACAGTCTAGAGCTCTAGTCTGACAAGACTGGTAAATACAGTCTAGAGCTCTAGTTAGACAAGACTGGTAAATACAGTCTGGAGCTCTAGTCTGACAAGACTGGTAAATACAGTCTAGAGCTCTAGTCTGACAAGACTGGTAAATACAATCTAAAGCTCTAGTTAGACATGACTGGTAAATACAGTCTAGAGCTCTAGTCTGACAAGACAGGTGAATACAGTCTAGAGCTCTATTCTGACAAGATAGGTAAATACAATTAAATCAACAGTCTAGAGCTCTAGTCAGACATAACTGGTAAATACAGTCTAGAGCTCTAGCAAGACATGACTGGTAAATACAGTCTAGAGCTCTAGTAAGACAAGACTGGTAAATACAGTCTATAGCTCTAGTTAGACAAGACTGGTAAATACAGTCTGGAGCTCTAGTCTGACAAGACAGGTAAATACAGTCTAGAGCTCTATTCTGACAAGACAGGTAAATACAATCAAATCAACAGTCTAGAGCTCTAGTAAGACAAGACTGGTAAATACAGTCTATAGCTCTAGCAAGACATGACTGGTAAATACAGTCTGGAGCTCTAGTAAGACAAGACTGGTAAATACAGTCTAAAGCTCTAGTTAGACAAGACTGGTAAATACAGTCTAGAGCTCTAGTCTGACAAGACAGGTAAATACAGTCTAGAGCTCTATTCTGACAAGACAGGTAAATACAATCAAATCAACAGTCTAGAGCTCTAGTCAGACACAACTGGTAAATACAGTTAAATCAACAGTCTAGAGCTCTAGTTAGACATGACTGGTAAATACAACCAAATCAGCAGTTTTGATACTTACTGAAACTTAATATATGACATATTTTCTTTTAAAACGAAGGTACACCATTCTCGTAAAGCTGAGTTTAAAGAAGTTAAAGCTTGCATACACCCAATAGGATGAAACCTGCCACTAGAGTTAGGTATATGAAGATATTTAGGTAATGGCATATCATGTTCTAAAACCAGACCAATTCGATGACAGTGCATCCATTTTTGCCTGAAATTGTTTGAAGAAATATCAAATTTAGCCTTTTTTAGCACCATAAAACTCATTGACGTAATTGATAAAAACAAAGTTTTCATGTGAACACTCTAACAGCAAATCACTGTTATTTAAGGGAGTGTAAAATGTAACAGGAAATATCAAGTTTATAGAGGAAAAGTTGTATTAACATGTAAACTCAAGGGTTAGGGTTAGGGAAAAGTTGTATTAACATGTAAACTCAAGGGTTAGGGAAAAGTTGTATTAACATGTAAACTAAAGGGTTAGGGTTAGGGAAAAGTTGTATGAACATGTAAACTCAAGGGTTAGGATTAGGGAAAAGTTGTATGAACATGTAAACTCAAGGGTTAGGGTTAGGGATAAGTTGTATTAACATGTAAACTCAAGGGTTAGGGATAAGTTGTATTAACATGTAAACTCAAGGGTTAGGGTTAGGGATAAGTTGTATTAACATGTAAACTCAAGGGTTAGGGAAAAGTTGTATTAACATGTAAACTCAAGGGTTAGGGAAAAGTTGTATTAACATGTAAACTCAAATATATTGCTCGTTTTTAAAGCAAGAAGAAATTACTTGAACACTACTCACCAAATATTAGTATCCAACATGACTATTGGCCTCCAAAACGAAGCAAAATTGGTCAATGCACTGTCTCTAAAATAAATATCAAAGTAATATTATACAAGACTAGAGAAAAATCATGAGCAACAAAAACATTTCCAATTTTCTTAAATACAAGAGAATATTTCTATATAAACATGACAATAGACAACTAGGTAAGAAAAATATTTTTGTATTATACTTTCAACAAAACACATAAAATATAACTTTAACTATGATTAAAAATTATACTTACTTCAAATTAAGTTGAGTATTTAACGTTGCTGTACTGGACGTTTCGTTGAATTGAGACACCATAAATAACGGTATACCATTTCGTATTGACTCAGGTATTTTATAATAATTAGTATTAGTACTAAATGATTGAAGATGAGCTAACAGTTTATCTGTTTGAGATACACTGAAATAAGAATGAAGTTTTACACCCTACAGTTCCTAATTCTATTGAGCTCATACAATAAAACAACAGTTTTACATCATACTGAATTCAAAACAGACTAAGTTTTAAACCTTACAGTTCAGTATTTAATTTGTACCTTAATAAACTTATAAAATGAACCATGAGTTTTACATCTTATTGGCCAGATTCAAAGATACAAAAGAAAACATAAAAGTAGCCTATAATACCAATGAAGGGCAAAAAATGTTACCTTGTAATAGTCTGCCAGAATCGTTGAACATTAGCTGATCTATAATGACTACGTATTGTTAATTTCTGACATGTTATCTCGTGTAAAAATGCGTAACTTCCTTCGATTATAACTTCAACATTCGTTTTATGTCTGTTAAAAATAAAATAACTCAATTATTATATTAGAAAATAACTTTTAATAACCAAAAACATCAACACGACTAGTTGGAAAATGGAGGTTTATCGAGTAAACAACAGCTAGTTGGAAAATGGAGTTTTATCGAGTAAACAACAGCTAGTTGGAAAATGGAGTTTTATCGAGTAAACAACAGCTAGTTGGAAAATGGAGTTTTATCGAGTAAACAACAGCTAGTTGGAAAATGGAGGTTTATCGAGTAAACAACAGCTAGTTGGAAAATGGAGGTTTATCGAGTAAACAACAGCTAGTTGGAAAATGGAGGTTTATCGACAACAGCTAGAATATAATACTAAAACTCATCTCAAGGTCAATCTAAAAGTCACAATTGCTGCTGGAATACAGGATTTTAATCAGAAACTGGAGGGTTTCCTGTAATTCATCGTGCGATCACAAAAACTGTAGCTTCTAATATTGACTTTGTGATGGTTACATCATTAACCGCTTACTTTTAGAACCTCTTAGATACTTACACACTACTATCTAGAGGCCAAACTGATCTTGCTACGTATTCTATTCGGACATACTGTCTCCATGGAAACACCATTTTAACTTCTATTGTATTTCCACCTGAAATTTAATATCAAATAGTTTTAAAGTGATTTTACCAATAATCTTATAACTTAAAGAGACAAGGTCAATAAGTCAGAAAATGTTTATCATTTCAATATCACAAAATAAAAACCCTTTTAACACAAACAGCTGGTATAGTGTATAGGGTATATAATGTTTTATTTTATTTACACTCAGTATTCAAAGGGTTAATGGAAATAAGCACACCAAGTATCGTCAAAATTCTCTCAAATCTTCAACATAAGTTCATCTATATCAAACATCTAAACTTACCATTTATAATTTTAACTTCTTTAATAGTATAGCCCTCTCTTAGTCGTAATGATATAACACTGTCTATACTAGCTAATACTATATTCTCTAGATGTTTCTTACGAACATTGTCTAATCCTGTCTTCTTACCATCTAGTGGTCGGGAATATAGCCTCCTATAAAATATATTATTATATATTTACAGATTATAACCTTCTATAATATAATATAAAAATACAGATTATAACCTTCTATTATATAACATAAAAATACAGATTATAACCTTCTATAATATAATATAAAAATACAGATTATAACCTTCTATAATATAATAAAAAAATACAGATTATAACCTTCTATTATATAACATAAAAATACAGATTATAACCTTCTATTATATAATATAAAAATACAGATTATAACCTTCTATAATATAATATAAAAATACAGATTATAACCTTCTATTATATAATATAAAAATACAGATTATAACCTTCTATAATATAATATAAAGAAAAGAAGACTGAAAAAGCCTAGTAATGTATCCAATGATAGTAAAAGAAGACTGGAAAAGCCAAGCAATGTATCCACTGATAGTAAAAGACTGAAACCACACCACAGAACCCTTGAGATAAAAAATCTTACTTGTTGATCCAGGCAAGAGAAAATGGAACATCTTCATCACTATGGTGAGTTAATTCATATTTAAATCCTTCCAATCCTTTCTGGAAGTTCCAGAAATACAGAGCTTTATGGTAAATATTGGGCTGGAAACTACTCGAGTCATCCTGAAATACAGAGCTTTATGGTAAATATTGGGCTGGAAACTACTCGAGTTATCCTGAAATACAGAGCTTTATGGTAAATATTGGGCTGGAAACTACTCGAGTTATCCTGAAACACAGAGCTTTATGGTAAATATTGGGCTGGAATCTACTTGAGTCATCCTGAAATACAGAGCTTTATGGTAAATATTGGGCTGGAAATTACTTGAGTCATCCTGAAATACAGAGCTTTATGGTAAATATTGGGCTGGAATCTACTCGAGTCATCCTGAAATACAGAGCTTTATGGTAAATATTGGGCTGGAATCTACTCGAGTCATCCTGAAATACAGAGCTTTAAGGTAAATATTGGGCTAGAAACTACTCGAGTCATCCTGAAATACAGAGCTTTATGGTAAATATTGGGCTAGAAACTACCCGAGTCATCCTGAAATACAGAGCTTTATGGTAAATATTGGGCTGGAAACTACTCGAGTCATCCTGAAATACAGAGCTTTATGGCAAATATTGGGCTGGAAACTACTTGAGTCATCCTGAAATACAGAGCTTTATGTTAAATATTGGGCTGGAAACTACTCGAGTCATCCTGAAAAACAGAGCTTTATGGTAAATATTGGGCTGGAAACTACTTGAGTCATCCTGAAATACAGAGCTTTTTGGCAAATATTGGGCTGGAAACCACTTGAGTCATCCTGAAATACAGAGCTTTATGGTAAATATTGGGCTGGAAACTACTCAAGTCATCCTGAAATACAGAGCTTTATGGCAAATATTGGGCTGGAAACTACTCGAGTCATCCTGAAATACAGAGCTTTATGGCAAATATTGGGCTGGAAACTACTCGAGTCATCCTGAAATACAGAGCTTTATGGTAAATATTGGGCTGGAAACCACTTGAGTCATCCTGAAATACAGAGCTTTATGGTAAATATTGGGCTGGAAACTACTCGAGTCATCCTGAAATACAGAGCTTTATGATAAATATTGGGCTGGAAACTACTCGAGTTATCCTGAAGTTAGAGATAAAACATTTCACCTAAACGCTAATAAACAGAGCTTCTATCATGTTGAATTTGACACATTTTGATAACATCAGGGGCAATAACTCTAAAACAATCATTTGAGATCTATGATCAAAACTAGTTTCATCAAAATCCAGATTCTAGTGCACAAAACAGAAAAAGTGGGGTTTAGAGTTAATTATCTTACCACTTTAGGACAGGAAGCAATATAGGCACCGAATGTAGCCGTGGCAAGAAACTGCATGAGTTCTACATGTGGTACGTGTCCAAAACCATATTGACCGAAATCTGGTTGATTACTACCGATCTTGAGGAAGGAACAGGAGATGGTACTGTTTCTAATCTGTGTCAGTAATGACTCAAATAAATTAGCGTCTGGTAATCCGACTAATCCATCAGTTATTACTATTATACCTACAAATATAAGATAGTATAAATTATACCATAATAAAGCATAATAAAATATATTCTGCAGACTAAACTCTGGAACTGTATGAGATGAAGGTTAAAAAGATGCTAGTAAATATCATCTAATTAATTTCAATAAATCATTAAGATTATTATGTTATGTAACTTGGAAACAGTTAATGTCAAATTATTACGTGGCCAGTAGAGAGACTGCTAGTGTTAGAAAGATAAACATCAACTTACCAGCACAAGAGTTTTCAGGTAATAGTTGTAAAGATAAAATACCATAACGTAACATATTGACTAGACCAGCTTCTGGTGTCATAATTAATTCATTCTTCTTTAATAATACTATATCATCATCTTCTTTTATATCCTACAAAAATAGATCAGACATTGATACAATAAATACATTAACATAAATAAAATAGAATATAACGTCTCAACTATAGGGCAATTATTCAATAAATACAATTTATTTCAGACAAATAATAACAAACATTAAAACTTACTGAAAGAGTTAAAACTGTTCTAGAAGCTAGATATAATGACTGTTCAAATATTTTTAATTTTTCTTTCACAGATAACAAAACTTCTTCAACATTTTCTTCTGTTATCTGAACACCTTGTACTAACACCTAGTTAAAATATAATATCAAATTGACAAAATTCTAAACATTAACTTGTGGAACACGGACGGGTAAAAAATATTATTGATTTATAACATATCTATAATAAACCAATGGGGTTGTCCACTCTAATTCCAGGTTAGTCTTCTGATCTGCATCACTGACAGTTGTTGATTCTGTATCTATCTTGACCTCTAACTTACTAAGCGTTCTGAGACCCCCAATAATGACTCAGCTCTGTTTATAACATTGTAGATATAATCTAATAGTTTATACTGAACCTGATTGAATACTCAATGAAAAGCACTGACCACTAACTAACTGTCCCAGGTTACCCACAATGGTGTGATTGTAATAGGAATATTAAGTAGTATATACTATACCTGATTACGTTTCGACTGTATAATTGGAGTTTGGACCATCACTGTGACGTATAATTCAGGTTTAAATATAAATGAACTTCCTGGTATCTGAAACTAGACAATATTTTATGTTGTTATAAACTCAACTAAGGGGTAACAATCAACATCAAGGGAGTCTGAGAGACTTCATGGAATATCAAAATAGTGTTTAAAAATAATCAATACCCACTTTAGACAGTGAAAAAGTTTAAGTTGACAAAAATTTGTTGAGGTATGGACTCCAATCAATTTGTGAAACTAGGACCTCAAATGTACAATTGGGTTACAAAGAGTAAAATGTGCCAACTAACTGAATGTACAAAAACTCGAAGATAAGAACTTAGGTATCCAGTCCACAAACTGGTCCTTGAGGCATGTAAACATAACTATTATCTTCAGCTACTATGCTGAAATTTGCAAGCAATATCCACATGGACTATCTGGATATGTCAGAAAAAAAACAGAAGTCTACTTACTGGTTTCACCAATCCTCTAATACAGTTATTTAATGTTGACAATAGATCATCATATAAAACTTGGTTTTTATCTAAATCCTATATAACAGATATAATATAATATTACAGGAGATAATTTACCACGATATATTATAATATTACAGGAGATAATTTATCACAATATATTATAATATTACAGGAGATAATTTACCACAATATATTATAATATTACAGGAGATAATTTACCACAATATATTATAATATTACAGGAGATAATTAACCACGATATATTATAATATTACAGGAGATAATTTACCACAATATATTATAATATTACAGGAGATAATTAACCACAATATATTATAATATTACAGGAGATAATTAACCACAATATAATATAATATTACAGGAGATAATTAACCACGATATATTATAATATTACAGGAGATAATTAACCACGATATATTATAATATTACAGGAGATAATTTACCACAATATATTACAATATTACAGGAGATAATTAACCACGATATATTATAATATTACCGGAGATAATTAACCACGATATATTATAATATTACAAGAGATAATTTACCACAATATATTATAATATTACAGGAGATAATTTACCACAATATATTATAATATTACAGGAGATAATTAACCACGATATATTATAATATTACAGGAGATAATTTACCACAATATATTATAATATTACAGGAGATAATTAACCACGATATATTATAATATTACAGGAGATAATTAACCACGATATATTATAATATTACAGGAGATAATTTACCACAATATATTATAATATTACAGGAGATAATTTACCACAATATATTATAATATTACAGGAGATAATTTACCACAATATATTATAATATTACAGGAGATAATTAACCACGATATATTATAATATTACAGAAGATAATTAACCACGATATATTATAATATTACAGGAGATAATTTACCACAATATATTATAATATTACAGGAGATAATTTACCACGATATATTATAATATTACAGGAGATAATTTATCACAATATATTATAATATTACAGGAGATAATTTACCACAATATATTATAATATTACAGGAGATAATTTACCACAATATAATATAATATTACAGGAGATAATTTACCAAAATATAATATAATATTACAGGAGATAATTTACCACAATATATTATAATATTACAGGAGATAATTAACCACGATATATTATAATATTACAGGAGATAATTAACCACGATATATTATAATATTACAGGAGATAATTTACCACAATATATTATAATATTACAGGAGATAATTTACCACAATATATTATAATATTACAGGAGATAATTTACCACAATATATTATAATATTACAGGAGATAATTTACCACGATATATTATAATATTACAGGAGATAATTTATCACAATATATTATAATATTACAGGAGATAATTTACCACAATATATTATAATATTACAGGAGATAATTTACCACAATATAATATAATATTACAGGAGATAATTTACCACAATATGATATAATATTACAGGAGATAATTTACCAAAATATAATATAATATTACAGGAGATAATTAACCACAATATAATATAATATTACAGGAGATAATTCACCACAATATATTATAATATTACAGGAGATAATTCACCACAATATAATATAATATTACAGGAGATAATTCACCACAATATAATATAATATTACAGGAGTTGGTGGATAAACCAGAGGTTGTATCTTTAATTTCAGTTAAAATGGTATTTGGTTATCATAAATACAATAAATCCAGCTTTATGGAAACACGCCCAATCAACAGATATATAAAATACTTACTACACTAATAACTGAAGGGCTGATATCGAGTATAAAGGCAAGACGGTAGATAGAAGCTAGAAATGTCACGAAGGTATGAGGTTCAACACAGACGTTATATGTTTTATCTGGAGAGAGTGGAGTATTATCTGAAGGTATTACTGATACTAGACTCAATTCATATCCACCAATAGGCTGAAAATATACACAGAGAGTACAAATAAGTAAAAGCCAAGGAATTGAAATGAGATGAAATTTCAAGTATTTAGATGGCTTAATTCTTATTTAATAAGGCTTTTCAGACTCCTGAGGAGAGGGCATGGCCCAATGGCCCTCCCCTAAATACGCTACTAGCTTCAAGCATCCATCTGAATAGTAGGCCTACTGGTAACTTTGTGAATATCAGTCACTATAATCTACAGTTAAACTTTAAGATAAAATATGGACATCTTATTCTAGTCATCTATAAATGTGATTCTGATAAAAAATTCTACTAAATCTTACCAATTCTAGAGGTAACTGAAATCGAACTTTAGACTGAATATTTTTAAAATACCAGGACGCTCGTATATTCCTCGAGACACGGCATCCTTTCTGCATCAAAACGTAAATATCTTTCGCTAGAAGTTCTTCCGATTCTTCTTCAACCTCTGTCTGTGGTTCTCTCCCCTAAATGGAAAAATATATTATTTGACAAAAGCTCAACATATGAAAGCCTTTACTCCAATATCTCATATTTATGATGAGGAAAGCTTAATCTATTTAAAAGCTGCCAATACGCTGGATTAGATAATTGTCAGAGTGGATTAAGTACAGTACCCCATAATTAGGTCAGCGCACATCCAATTCCATAATGGACAAATTGACACAAAACAGCCATAGTGCCATTCAAATAGTGTTACCAGTTGCCTTTACGACTCCATTGCAACAGACCAGAGCCAGAGGTGCAGAGAGAGACGTCTGGGGTGGATAGGAAAGTAGTTTTGAAATGAAGTTGCTGTTTAAAATATGCATACCACTTCAGTATTTTCATTGCTGTCATCATCCATATTATGCTAATTATGAAATATTGGGAGTTGTCATGGATACAAATGGCACATTTCAATGAAATTTGTCCTGAAAATTTGTTACCCAAATAAAGAGGGTAGAGTTTAAGTTTTATCTCGATTAACAAGTCTGACACTAACAGGGAGGCAACTCTCATCATTTTATACTACTTCCGGTTTCTAGAAATTTGTTTATTTTTGCGAAATAGTAAAGAAATTGTTAATTATGCCGAGAAGGAACGATGGAGATGGAAGCGGGGGTGAGAAGAGAAAAGGGGCTAGTTTGATGAATCAGGTAAACCCTTATTTATCTGTTTTCATCCATCGGAAAAGTTTTATTGAGACATTTTTGTTGCTCTTCTTCATTATGTCATAATGATCTCGACCATTGATAATAATAGGTCAGGTCTGTCGTATGCAGATCATGTTGTCATTAGTCATCATTATAACAATTAGACCCTACATCTGTAAAAATATTAACTCTACACCTCTTTTCACATTCACAATGATAAGACTATCTCTACGAATTCCTGTAATAAAGTACCCATAGCTCATTCTTTTATATATTTGTCTCTTGAGCTTTACCACTACAGCGTTGGCTGCTAGAATATTGTGGAGAACATATTTAAATCAAATTCATTGGCATCTTTTTAATATATTTTTTCTGAGTGGAATAGATCAGTAACAAGCGATTGACGTCCCCTCGGCCATTAGGAAACTTTTCTGTCTCTATTGTTATCAAACAAGTTTTCTACCACCACAACACTCCCATTCTTATGACATTATTTTTAAGCAATCAAAGCATGTCATGTAGAACATGTGTCTGGATAACAATAACAAATTGTGGGATGTCATATGCGAGGAGGCTGTCATTTTGCTCCATTGTTGGTCACCGGTACAAAGTTTTGGATGCTAATGAACTGTGTTGAGGATACACAGTCCTCATCAGGACAGTTAGTTTAAAGTAACTATGTATATATGATTGTATATTATCAGCTTGGTATGGGGGCTATGGAAGATGAGATATATGGGTCAGATGATGATGGTGATTTAGAAGCAGAACTAGCAGAGTTAATGGGGGGAGGTGGCCCAAAGAAAGTGGCACCAAAACGTAAAGGTGATACATTTATAGATACAATACAAGATTTCAAAGCTACATTTAATATTTGATTAAATAAAGATTAATATTTAAGAAATCAGTGGAAATGAAATGATTAATTATAATCTATGTTGTTTGAAGGTAATATGGTAAATTTAAGTATGATCGATAAATTAGCAGCTGATACTATGAAATATATTGATGATGATGTTGATGTATCTGATACTGAGGACCCTGATTTATTGGTAAGTTACTACTGGTCTTAATTCAATTATAGTAGATACCATAGTCTGAAATTTTTGTTTTTATACTAGTTTAATACTACAGGATACATGGGTCAGAAAGTTAAACCAAAATATTCACCTTGTGATTTTGACCTATAGTAAAACCAGACATAGTAAAACTTGACATAGTAAAACGTGACATAGTAAAACTTGACATAGTAAAACTAGACATAGTAAAACGTGACATAGTAAAACTAGACATAGTAAAACCAGACATAGTAAAACTAGACATAGTAAAACTAGACATAGTAAAACTTGACATAGTAAAACTAGACATAGTAAAACTAGACATAGTAAAACCAGACATAGTAAAACTAGACATAGTAAAACTAGACATAGTAAAACTTAACATAGTAAAACTTGACATAGTAAAAACCAGACATAGTAAAACTTGACATAGTAAAACCAGACATAGTAAAACCAGACATAGTAAAACTTGACATAGTAAAACTTGACATAGTAAAACACTTGACATAGTAAAACTTGACATAGTAAAACCAGACATAGTAAAACCAGACATAGTAAAACTTGACATAGTAAAACTAGACATAGTAAAACTAGACATAGTAAAACTTGACATAGTAAAACTTGACATAGTAAAACTTGACATAGTAAAACCAGACATAGTAAAACCAGACATAGTAAAACCAGACATAAAACTTGACATAGTAAAACTAGACATAGTAAAACTGGACTACTGTTTTGTTTGTTTCAGGCTGAACTACAAGAAATAGCTGATGAAGATGATGATGATGAACCAGCACCGAAACAATCCAACAGAGCACCAGATGTAGTTCCTCCTGTACAACCTAGATCACAACCTGTACAACCATCATATCAACCAACTGTACAATCATCAACACATAAACCAGTACAGCCACCCCCCTCTAATGATATGATTTTCAGTAAGTTTTTATTCAGAATTAAACACTTTGTATAGTGCGCCTGCCTTTCTTATGAGTTGTTACTTCATAAAGCGTTAAGAACTATTTTTCTCTTTGTCTCAAATATTGCTTTCAAATGGTTTCAATTGTGATTTTTTATTGAATATGTTATATATATTAACAGATGAATATATAAAAATGTTTTGTATTTTTACAGTGCCAACAACTAGTGGAGCAACAGCAGGACATGTTGAACCCTCTACATCCCATAATACTAGTACCCCGCCTGCTATAGGTAGGTAGTCTCTACATCCCATAATACTAATACCCTGTTTGCTATAGGTTCCCAGCCTGTCAAAGTCTCCTTCACTGCATTACATTAATTAGGCGCTAATCTTATCAAAAGATAGAAAGTTAACAAAAAGATTATTTTAATTCATCTTATTGTATGATATTTATTTTCTTCAGGACAGTCAATAGTTGAAATCATGAATCAGTAGTTGAAATCATGAATCAATAGTTGAAATCATGAATCAGTAGTTGAAATCATGAATCAGTAGTTGAAATCATGAATCAGTAGTTGAAATCATGAATCAGTAGTTGAAATCAGAAATGAAACCACATTTTACTGAAATTGCCATTTATATTTCAGATAAAGAGACCCACCGAATGTTGGCATCACGAAGAGATCAGTATAAACAGGCAGCGTTAAAATCTAAACATAGTAACGACATCGCCACGGCTACTAAATATGTTAAAATAGCCAAGGTAAATATTTATACATTTGACATTTTGTTCAACTTTGAGGAGGGGGTTATAGCTTAGTTAGTTGTGATGACGGAATTTATTTGGTTATGTCTAATGGTGGTCATGGATTCAGATCCTGGTTGGTGGTGAAAGTCTGGTGACCTTCAATAAATCCTCATTATTGCAGTATTACTCTAGTCTCATTTATAACAATGTTTTGAAGTTTATCTCGTACAATGTTTTTATCTGCTAGACTCTAAGATTATAATAATTATAAATTGTGTTTTCTAGCAATTTGATATGGTTATAAAAGCTTTAGAAGAAGGAAAGGAGATAGATTTAAGTCAGATGCCACCCCCTCCCCCACAAGATGGTAAATTATTTTATATTTATGTGTTGAATAATTTGTATTGTTGAACAATATTTCTAGTCTCCGATGTCCAGACTATTCAAAGCTGAACTTAGACAGAGAAGGACTGAATGATAGAGGCTACAATATTTCTTGTTTCTGAAACTTAGAATCAGAATATACTAATAATAACTATAGCACTGTATTTATAAAATGTCTAATCTTGTACTGGAACTGGAGTTAAGTTATAGAGAATAAAACCCCTGATTCATCACAATCTATATTTACAGTAATCATTGAAAAATCTGCTCCACCATCACAACCTCCAGTACAGAGAGCAGCAATGCAGGCAGCACCAGAAAAACCATCAGCTGATAATCTACCTGAATTACCTACTGCTACTAAAGAAGGTAGAGTAATTACTGTGAATTTATATTTGATATATGATTTATATTTCATGTACTGTATTTCAGGGGTCAACCTAACATCCCACAAAATTTAAACCATTGATTTTGTGATTATAGAATAAACAGCTAGAAGTATTAAAACAGAACCTTAAACATGTTGTTACTTAGAACTTCATCCTGTGTGATCTTCAGACAACAGATATATTTAAGCCTGTGTTCCTATATAATATATATAATTGTTATTGTAGAAGAGAAAGCAATATTTGGAGCACCAGACGAGCCTAAAACAGTGATGGAAGCTTTAGAACAAAGGTTAGAGAAATATAAATTTACAGAAGCACAAGCTAAAAAAGATGGTGAAAGTGGAAAGGCGAGAAGAATGGGGAGAATTGTTAAAGTAGGTCTTTCACTATTAACCTTGTCTCTTGGACGTATCTTTAAACTTGGATTTCATTCTAGTAGTTCCTAGAGTATATTTTTTACCAATGAACATCACAAAGATACTAGTTGGGTCATTGACTATTTTTTTCTTTAAAAAACCCATCTCATATTTACATAACACCAATCTATTGTTTTTTATTCAGCAATATCAAGAGGCAATCCGAGCTCAGAAAGCTGGTAGAGCTGTAGATTATGAAGAATTACCAACTCCTCCAGGTAAGTTCGTCTTGCAATTAATAAACCAAAATGTTGGATTGTCCTTTGATTCAGTTTTGTCCTCAACAGTGACATTTGACTTTGTTTTTCAAACTGTAGTTTTATTCACCTTATAAATCGTATTTATTAATGAAGTATTTCAGAGAGTCTACATATTTTTAATCATATTCATTTATTCCCTGTTGGTATGATATATGTACTTTTGATTGCAGGTTTTGCACCAATTCCTGTGGGTAAACCATCGCCCTCGAAAACATCCCCACAGAAACCAGCCCCCAGCAGTACAGCTGGTAGTAGTGGGGGACCTGGGCAGCAACCAGCAGCAAGTAAACCTCCAACACATGGTGCTGTGGGTGGGACAGCACCCTCAAATCCTGGCCCCTCCCTACAGCCCCAGCCACCAGATAGATCTGTCTCGCCTCGGAAATCAACGTCAAATATACATCATGATAAATCACCTGGTCAGATAACTAACAGAGGAGAATGTAAGTTGAATTTTCTAAAATCTTCCTATCTTACTGCACCAAACATAGTAATCAAGTTCTGAATTTGAGAGTTCAATCCCTTAATTTTAACAATAAAACTTTGTACTGCATGATTTATAAAGGTACAAGTATATATTAACAACTGTTTTTTTTATCAATCATTGATTCATTAAATCAAGCAATAATTGTCTTCGAAAGTCACTGTATCATGTATTTCTATTGAATATTAATCATTTTTATTTTACAGCTGTAAGAAAGAGTCATTCTAAAGCTGATCATCAATTAGTCTTTTTAAAAGAGAGATACGAAGAATTTAAAACGTGTGCTTTAAACGCCAAGAAAAATAATGATTTAGAATTAGCCAAGAAATATCTTAGAATAATGAAGGTGGGTAAAATGGGGTTTGTTATCTGAAACATTGTAATCTGTAACATTAATTTCATTTCATTAGGCCTGTCTAGGCTTGAGGTCGGTTACGTTAGGATCAAATTGTCAAATTGAAAAGTCATCTAAATATTTAGTTTACCAACTGATAGAGCTAAATTGCTATATAAGTGAATCAGACAGTGGAAATTATTTGAACTATAACCTATTACTGTTTACTGTAATATATAAATATGATATTTATATTACTAGGGTTTAGAGCCAATGATACAAGCAGCTGAATGTGGTTTACCAGTTGACTTATCTCAGGTTGGTATTTTATTCTCTATTTTTTAGTTCATGTTTTCTATACTATATTATATATTTATTCTGATATTGTTCAAGAAATGTCTCACTACTGTTAGTTTCTGGCAAGTATGAGACATCTTATCTTTGATTTAAGCTCAGGCCTGTGCTATGAGAATGTCCTCATGTAGCTGGAAATTCACTTTACTTGATTTTCAAGTTAAATTCCTCTATTTTTAAGGTACCGAAATCACCGAACATGCCTGACTCTGATGACAAGTTTACGATCGTGTCACCAGAAGACTGTGTACCTACAGGAGACAGGACAGAAGTTTATCAGAAATTGGAAGAAAATCTTATACAACAGATTCGGGTATGTTGGATCTTGTTTTTTATGTTTATGTCAAAGAGATAATCCTAGAGAACTTGGGTTTTTATCCCCATAAAATCAGTACCAAGAGGAGTAGACAGGTTTTTATGAACATTTGTAAAAAAATTAGTTTTTGTACTTGATAATAATTTTGACTGTATCTTTTTTTTTAGACGTGTGTAACAAATGGTCAACATTATACTAAACTAGGTGATGTTCCTGCTGCCTCTAAGTAAGTCTTACAATTTAACTTAAATAATTCTTAAACAGCTAGACAGCCATTAACTTTCTCTTAAATATATCTTAAACAGCTAGACAGCCATTAACTTTCTCTTAAATATATCTTAAACAGCTAGACAGCCATTAACTTTCTCTTAAATATATCTTAAACAGCTAGACAGCCATTAACTTTCTCTTAAATATATCTTAAACAGCTAGACAGCCATTAACTTCTCTTAAATATATCTAAACAGCTAGACAGCCATTAACTTTCTCTTAAATATATCTTAAACAGCTAGACAGCCATTAACTTTCTCTTAAATATATCTTAAACAGCTAGACAGCCATTAACTTTCTCTTAAATATATCTTAAACAGCTAG